ACCCATACTCAGTTTTTGGATGTGCCTCACTCTTCTTGAGTACCTTCCTATTAACCCCTATGCTTAAATGTGTATTTCAAATGTCTTTTAATAAACTCTAACTCTGTTTCATAATGGCTTGTCCCGAAAATTCTTCAGTGATGCCAGGAATCCAGTTTTACCTGCATAGACATGTCTGAAAAGAATTCCTCAGGTTGCTGGGGAAGGTACCAGAAGAGTGTGGAGATGTCTCTAACCCAATTGCTGCTTTCTGTAAGAGCAGCTTTGGTGGTCAGCATAGATTGGGTAATGCCTGAGGGAAATGTCTTGGTGTAGCATAGCAAAAGTACCTTCATAAGTTTTCTCTGCCATGTGCAACCAGGGCAGCAAAATATGTGCACACATCCCCACACATGTAGAATGATAGGGCACAGGGAGGCTTACATGAACAGCAGACAATAAACACTTGGAGTGCAGGAGCTAAATAAAGCATTAGCGTGTAACCCCATCGCTTGTATCAGTTTACTAAGGAGAGCAAGGTTGGCAGCTTCTGAACAGGGATACTACTTTCTTTCACACTTTGAAATACACAGCCCTTTCTACTATATTTCATGTCATGCTCCTGTTATGTTTCATCTACAACATACTTTTGACCTTCAGATTTAGCCTTTATCTACTTCCATTTTGGAACAATTATCTTAGGACAAGGTCTTTATTTTGCCATACAAAGTCCATCCTTAGTTAAAAAAAATCTGCTAATAACTTTTCATGCCCTGGTCCTTTTACCTCATATTTTTTTTTTACCCTGCTTCCTTTGTTAATGAAACAAAAATAAGGATCTAGTCATGAGACAGTGACATATAAAAATCAATTTGCCAACTTACCAATAGATATTTGAATCCAAATGATGTTTATGAGAGAATGAAACAAACTACATCATTTATCCATATTCAGCTAAACTGCAAATTCTTATTTTTCTGCAAATTTTTATATGGAACTTAATGATGCTTGATTTTTTTTTGTTTTGATTTGTTTTTGTTTTTCAAGAAAGGGTTTATCTGTGTAGTTTTGGAGCCTGTTCTGGAATTTGCTCTGTAGACCAGAGACCAGGCTGTCCTTGAACTGGAAGAGATCCGCCTGCCTCTGCTTCCCAAGTGCTGGGATTAAAGGTGTGTGCCACCACTGCTTGGCTGATGCTTGAATTTTTAAAGAGATCTTTTACATTTTTTTCCCTCTGATCTCACATGAGTCTAAGAATAACAGAAAGGACTACATTGCATCTATGTCTGGCCAAGATAACAAAATTTTAACCATTTTGAGTAGCAAAACTACCTTAGAATAAGGGAAAAAAGGGGGGTAGGGGAAAAACCCATAATCACAAACCAGCTGTTGTTACAGAAGAGAAAGCTTATAAAGTTGTGGGATGGAGTAACCTCTTTTTTGGGGGGGGGTTGTTTCAAGGCAGGGTTTCTATGCATCTTTGGAAGCTGCCCTGGAACTCTGCTCAGTAGATCAAGCTGGCCTCAAACTCACAGATATCCAGCTGCCTCTGCCTCCTGAGTGCTGGGATTAAAGGTGTGCACAACTACTGACTGTCCTCTTCTTCAGTAGGGTTTTTCTCAACCATCCCTTTATGGTCCTTAAGAGACAATTTCAGAGTAAGGGTCTTAGGAGATGCAATGAGAACATGTTTATTTAAGGAAAGTATAAGTGTAACACCAAGACACCTTTTTCTGATGAGAAAGACGTGTGTTTCCAGTGTGTATTTGGAAAAATCTGGTTAATTCTGAAGATTTTTCTTAGTCACAAATTTTCAGCAACTTTATTACTATGTTTTGTGGGACTTGTTGCAGGTTTTGGATCTATGGATGCAATAATGTGGTTTGAATATAAAAAGTCCCAACAGGATCATGTGTTAAACCCTCAGCTCCAAGCTGGCCATGCTGTTTTGGCAGGTTCTGTTAACTATTGTGAGTTGTTGCCTAGCTGGAGGATGTAAGTCACTGGGGGTGTGCATTGAAGGGTATGCCTAGTGCCTGGTTCTTACTCTCCCTGTCTATGAAAGAATGAATAACCCCTTCCTCTATGTGTTCTCACCACCATGAAGTTCTGTGCAAAGGCACAGGACCAAGCAACCTCTGAAACCCTGAACCAAAGTGAATTTTTCCCTTTTAAAGCTATGTGCCATTTAGGAAGCTAAGAGTGGCCTCGACTTCCAACTCCTCCAGCCCCGCCTCCAGAGTGCTAGGATTTCAGGCCTCTACCACTAAGCTTAGCTTGTATGGAGTATGTGTGTTTCAGGAAAGCCAGGGGCTACACACTGAGACCTTGTTCCAAAAGCAATAAAAATAAACTATTTCAAATACACAAAAGCTTCCATTTATTTATAAAAACAGAGTCTTGCTATGGTGGTGTCATAACCCTACTGCCTCAGCCTCCCAAGCTGGGATTAAAGGCATGCACCACCACCACATCTGGCTTTGTAATTGCAATTTTAGTCAAATCTTAAATTTAATGAAGCTTGAGACATATACAGCTTTATCCACAGATTGTAAACAGTTGAAAAGGAAATAATGAGAATAAAGTATTGAGGATATTGTCTGAAAAGATATAGACATGAAAAACATAAACGAGAGGTGAAGAGTCCTGGAGGCGAGAGACAGGAAATTCAACATGAGTTTAATGGGACTGCTGGAAGGAAAGGCAGAATGGAGCATAGACCCTATTTTTCTGCTTGCTTTTTTGAGATGAGAGTTTCACTACGTAGCCCAGGTTAGCCTTAAACTTGAGCCATCCCTGCATGTGCCACCATGGTTGGCTCTGAGACAGTATTTAAAGAGATAATGGGAAAATATGTTTTTAAGAGGTAATGTCAGATTTTTCACTGATGAAAAAGAGATTCATATAATTAAGATCAGTGAGCCTCAGGCAGAGAAGACATGTTAAATAAATCTACACCAAGATTGAAATTCAAACGCCAGAGATGGAGATATTTTATACCCAGTTGAAGAAGAAAGAGAACTGTCAATGTGTTGTAGTGAAATGGATGTTGAGGTAAAAAAGGAAGATTAAGATTAAAACAGTAAAGTTGGGAAGCACTGAGGGTAATAAATAAGAGGGCTCTAAGCCAATGTCAGCAGGCTCTCCCAAAGTCCCCTCCCTTGAGGAAAGTGTGCAAAGTCACTGTTGCCTTTTCATATAAATATATATATATATGTGTGTGTGTGTGTGTATGTATATATATATATATTATATGTATGTGTGTACATATAACACACACACACACACACACACACACACACACACACACACGGGGTGAGGATCTCACTATGTAACCCAGGCTGGCCTTGTGCTCATTATGTAGACGAAGCTGACCTTAGAGATCTATTTGCTTCTGTTTCTTGCATGCCACTATTAAAGTCATGTGCCACCATGCCTGACTGTGCATTTTGAAGAATGGACATGGAGTGATAATTCATACATCACTGTGCAGAGGAAGAAACTGAGTTCTGATGCAATGAACAATTAGCTCATGTTCAGAAAGTTAGTTGGTTGTTAAATGAAGACAGGTACCACAATCCCTCAGATTCTAAGTCTAGAGACTCTGTGTTCTTGGAGCCAAATAGAAATCCCACAAGTAATCTGGGATGTGAGAGCTCCCCCCCCCACAATGCTGTTTATGCTTTTGGAATCTGTGTGTGGTCATGGAAGAGGGAGGGTTGTGGAGGGCATGTAAATTATAGTCTGAGGTAAGTTCAAAGTTGTACAATTCCAGATGAATCCTGAGAAACCCTACAGACTTCACAGAGAAGCCACACACTGTTGGTCATTCAGAAATTAAGAAACTGGTTGACCAGGGTATCTGAGTTCCTTCTGCCCCTATGGATTATCTGAATTCCTTTTGCCCTCTGATTTCCAGCCTTAACATGAGAGTGCCTCATTCTTCCTTCAAAACCAATCCCGACTGGAGTCTCCCTATCCCTTCTTCTCTAGATTGTTCATCACCATTTTTATCTTCTCTCTCAGTTTCACAGTTGAATCCCTTTCTGCCCTTTCTCTCTACACAGAACTCCTTAGTAAGCCCATGTTGCAAGTTGGAGGTTGTTCATACTCAGAGCAGAGCCAAGAGCATTGGTGGCCTCAAAAAAACAGTGGTTCAGTTGAATGAACACAGCCTCATCTTATAATGCCCACCAATATCTCTGTTCAGGTTCTGCAGGAACTACACACAGAAAGTTCAGTGTTGGCCTCTGGATAGTGGGTTCTGAATACAGACTTCCTCCATGTCCTTTGAGCCCTGTTAGCACTGTCAGGGAAATCACTGCTCCAGCCTGGGTCAGCAAATTTTAGGGAGAAGTTTCCTTTGCTCAATCAGCACCCAGCGGAGGACAGCTCCGACGGGTTCTGCTCAGCACCCAGGAGTGGACAGCTCCCTCCACTACACAGTCTAGTGGATTGGGAGGTCTGGCGGGCTGGCTAACTCAACTCTGCTTTTCGGATTTCTTGGGGACATGAATGCTGTTCTTAGGGCGTCACCCACCCCCACGAGCCGCCCACCTCCCAGGAGCTCTGCACACCGCAGATAATTGAAAGTGCGCAGACCAGGGCCGCCACGGTCCTGGCTCCAGGGGCTGTCGCACCCATTTCCCGCAGGGCATCTTCCTTGGCTCCTGCAGAAACCATCGGTCTACGAGCGGGTTCCTGCTCCCACTTATCCCTTCTCGCCTGTTCCTCGCTCTGACCACGCAAGCCACACGCCAGTTCTCGCGGCCAGAACCTCACCACCATCACCACCACCACTACCCCACACCCCCGCATCCCCCCTCGAATCGACCCCCATCCCCCCGCCCCCCTCAGGCCCCGCCCTGCGCCACTCCCTCCCCTCACCCCTGCGGCGCGGCTTGCTGCCGCGGTGTCCTGGCAGGGCGCTGAGGTGTGTCGCCGGCGGGTGTCGCAGGGCGTGTCACGAGGTGAGTGGGGAGACAGAGGCCGCGAGTCTGAGCACCAAGGGCGCTCCTCACCCCTCCCCCTAGCTGCCGGCCGGCGGTTCCTGGGAAGATGGCGGATCGCGCGGAGATGTTTTCTCTCTCCACCTTCCACTCGCTGTCACCTCCGGGCTGCAGGTACGCACTCGTCCGGTCTCATCTTCATGTAGGTCTCCTCGGCTTGCTACCCCACCCCATCGACTTCAACTACTCAGGCCAGGGGCCTCTTTGGTTTGCAGGCCTCTGACTGATGCTGCCCATCCCCCATCCTGGGCTCCGGGTCCCTCCGTGTTTGCTCCCTGTCGCGCAGACCCAATAGTACCCCCTCACACACAGACACACAAATACACACACACACAGACACACAAACACACACACACACCTTTTCTGTTGGGATGCCGAACCGCACCCAGTCAGGACAGATGACCTGGCAAGGGTGGGGTCTCTAGACTGACCCTTTGAAGGATTTTAGGCAGGGTGCCCAGCAACCTCGTCTGTTCTTGGCGGTGTCCTTTTGGCCTTGTTGTGACTGCTTCCATAGAGGCTAGGATCTGGCTCCTAGCCCCAGACCTGGGGGGGGGAATGAAGTCAGGCTTGAAGCTCAGGGAATGGGATGGGGGATGTTGGGGTGGGAGGGGGCTAGACCTTTGGGTTCAGGCCTGCTTGGTAGGAGGGGGATGGGGACACAAGCAGAGCAGCCAGACCCCTCCCTCTCCTATTGTGGCGGCTTTCAACTCCCCCTCTTTCAGTTGTCTCAAGGTGTCTCCCCAGAGGCTGAAGCTGTGACCCACAGGGGCCAAAAGCTGAGCTGAGGAGGAGTGGGAGGGGTTTGGCGAGCAATGGCTCCTCTGGTTCATATGCTGTGATGAAGGAAGGGATCCAGGGAAAGCTGCCTGGAGTCAAAATGACATGGCTTTAACCTAAGAGTTGGGAGCCCTGGGAGCTGGATATTTCCCACCAATGTCCTCAGGATCAGCTCTCAGGCCAGGAGCCTAAGACTGGTGTCTCTCTGACTCTGGCACCCTCTTCAGGCCTCCCCAGGACATAAGCCTGGAAGAATTTGATGATGAAGACCTGTCTGAGATCACTGACGACTGCGGACTGGGCCTTAGCTACGATTCGGACCACTGTGAGAAGGTGGGGAAAGGGTTGGGTGTGTAGGATCTGACTAAAGATGAGCTTCACATAGGCTCAGTTTCCCTAGCATTCTTGTGGGTTTAAGAGTGTTTGAGTTCAGCTTCCATGCAAGAAAGCCTCTGCCCTTGCTAATAGCCCTTTGGTATTTGTCTTTCTTAACATACTATAGGCCCTTTAGAGGGCCTTCTCTGTCAGTTCTCCCAAACATAGTGCCACAAGAGGTAGGAGAAGTGTGCCTTTGCTTGGGTGCCTCTACTTGGATCTCTTCCCACAACCGTTTAAACCCTCCAGTTTCTAATCACAGCTCAACCTCTGTGGCATCTTTCTTTCTGTCTCATCTCCCTCTAAAATCTTTCCCCTTCTGCCTCCTGGTTCCATTTTCATTTGTTGTGAGGAAATGCCATGTGTCAAGTTTAGGGGGCTTCCATGTGTTTTGAGCAGAGCCATAACTCCCCCATCCCCCGCACCCCACCCCCAGCTTTCAGTTTAGCAGGGGAGAAATACAAATGAGAGATAGTGATCATCTAAAATGCCAGTGGTAGGATTCCAACCTGACACCAAGTATGATGAGGGGGAAGGGGATCCAATCCAGACTGAGGGAATCAGCAAGCCTTCCTAGAGGAAATGTCACTCATAACCCTGAGGTTAGTAGGAAGCAGGCAGATGGGGGTAAGCTAGGAGGGCGTGGAAGAGAGAAATCGCTGGCAGAAGGACTAGCTGTGCTAAAGACCCTGGTACAAATTTGGTGAATCATCAGAGTGCAGGCTCTCCTTATGTATACATTCTTTTGTTACTTATTGGTAATGCTCCTTCCCATGGGTGAGTATGCCAGTGTATAATGTGGACATGACCCTATTCTGGTAGTTTAACAGTCTGTGACAGATCAGAAAGCCATGAGTTGTGAATTGTTAAAATGCTATGAAAACAACAGAGTGGCAGTGTCTAGGGGTGAATAAAGCTGGATGGTTACTTGGGGTTACTCTGAGAATGTCTCAAAATTTGGGCCCTTTCTGGAAGTGCAGTGATCAATATGTGTCTTAAGTAGATTTTTTTTGGGGGGGGAACAAACATTGCTCTGTTGATGGATGAACTGGGAAGAACTGCTTTCCCCTCATCTCATCCCTGGGACTCCAGGGTACTGCTGTGCTCTGGCCCAGCCCTGTCTTGTCTCTCCTTCCTGCAGGACAGCCTCTCCCTGGGTCGCTCAGAGCAGCCACACCCTATCTGTTCCTTCCAAGATGATTTCCAGGAGTTTGAGATGATCGATGATAATGAGGAGGAGGAGGAGGAAGAGGAGGAGGAGGAAGAGGAGGAGGAAGAAGGAAATGGGGAGGGCAAAGCAGGGGGAGGATCTGGTTCAGAGGCATTTGTTGGAGAGTCTCTCATTCCCTCTCCTTCCCAAGAGGAGTCTCATAAGCACCGACCCACCACTCTCCGCCTGACTACACTTGGGGCCCAGGTAAGCCTCCTGTTATACACAATACTAGAGTCCAGTTTGGAGTCCAGGTAGCAGGCCCCTTCTTCTCTTGATTGCTGGAGTGGTCTTCAGCCACACTGATATGTTCTCCTTCCTAGGACTCCCTGAACAACAACAACGGTGTCTTTACCTCTGCACCCCCATCCTCCTGGCAGGAGACAGTGCTATGTTCACCAGCCCAGGAGCCCCTCAAAGGTGAGGGATGGATGCCAATAGAAGAGGGAGGGGCCAGGCGGTGGTGAGGCAGGCCTGTAATTCCAGCACTCGAGAGGCAGAGGCAGGCAGATCTCTGTGAGTTCAAAGCCAGCCTGGTCTACAGAGCTATTTCCAGGGCACACAGAGAAATCTTGTCTTGAAGGAAAAAAAAGAAAAAAAAAAAAAAAAAAAAAGAAAGAAAGAAAGAAAGAAAGAGGAAGGGGATGGGAGGAATGTCTGGGCTCTGGAAGGAGGCCTGTTTTCCAGTGGCAGTGATCCAAACCCCTCTCCTTCAGAGATCCCAGCCCCTCTCATGCCCGCTGAAGAGGAGCCCCGTGAGTTACAGTATCCTGGTTGTGACTGCGAAGGGAACCAACCCCCAGAGCCACCAGTGTCAGGCGGGGCCTCCCCTTCCTCTGATCCTGGGATTGAGGCTGACTTGAGAAGCCACTCCAGTGGAGATCACGAAGGTCGGCGAAACAGCCAGGAGCTCTCCTCACCAGGCTCAGACTCTGAGGATGCAGGTGGTGCACGCCTGGGGCGCATGATCTCATCCATTTCTGAGACGGAGCTGGAGCTGAGCAGTGATGGTGGCAGCAGCAGTGGCCGCTCATCTCATCTCACCAACTCGATCGAGGAGGCTTCATCACCAGCCTCAGAACCTGAGCCTGAGCCACTGCATGATCCTCCCCGCCGCCCTGCCTTCCTGCCTGTGGGTCCTGATGACACCAACAGCGAGTATGAGTCTGGCTCTGAGTCTGAGCCTGACCTCAGTGAGGATGCCGACTCGCCTTGGCTGCTCAGCAACCTGGTGAGCCGCATGATCTCTGAGGGCTCCTCGCCCATTCGTTGCCCTGGCCAGTGCTTATCTCCCGCACCACGCCTGCCAGAAGAAACTGCATCACAGGCCAACCGGGTACCCCAGGACTGCCAAGATCCTGAGGCAGTAGCAGGACCCCACGTGGAGTTGGTGGACATGGACACCCTCTGCGGGCCACCTCCGCCGGCCCCTGCTGCGCCTCGGCTTGGCCCTGCGCAGCCTGGGCCTTGCCTTTTCCTCAGTAACCCAACACGGGATACCATCACCCCGCTTTGGGCCACACCAGGCCGCACTGCTCGCCCTGGCCGCTCCTGCTCTGCTGCCTGCTCGGAGGAGGAGGATGAGGACGAAGAGGATGAGGAGGATGAGGACGATGCAGAGGACAGCGTGGTTCCTCCTGGTTCCAGAAGTACAGGCTCTACTGTGCCATTGGATGCCTCGCTGGTCTATGATGCAGTTAAGTACACACTAGTAGTGGATGAGCACACACAGCTAGAGTTGGTGAGCCTACGGCGCTGTGCAGGCCTGGGCAACGACAGTGAAGAGGACAGCAGCTGCGAGGCCAGTGAGGAAGAGGCGGGAGCTACATTACTAGGTGGTGACCAGGTGCCAGGGGATGCCTCTCCTGACAGTCCTGACCTCACCTTCTCCAAGAAGTTCCTCAATGTCTTTGTCAACAGCACATCTCGATCCTCCAGTGAGTGGGAAGTGGGAGAAGGTGGGAGGGGGGCAGAGGAAGAAGTATCATCCTGACTTCTGGTCCCCCAAAATGTCCAGGAGGCTTTAAATTCTAGAGGTGGTCAAGGCTGGACACTTCCTTTTTTTTCTGGGACAGTGAGCAGTGATCCTCCCCAAGGGGCAGGGAGTCAGACCATAGTGGGCTGCTCTTCCTCCTCTTCTTGACTTAGGATACCCAACAGTCTGTTGCGGGGAGGGAATTTGGCTCCAGCCCAAGGCCAGGCCTTCGAGTACTTTCTTTCTCCTTGGAGTTCCTAACTCTGCCCATCCCTGTCTCTCTTGTCTGTCTCTCAGGCACGGAGTCCTTTGGTCTTTTTTCCTGTCTGGTCAATGGGGAGGAGAGAGAGCAGACGCACCGGGCTGTCTTCAGGTATATCATCTTGTTCAGGGTGACTCCCGGCCCCAGACTACAGATTCATTAGGGCATTGCTGGCTGTGACATACCTAGGCTTGCCTAGCCTACCTCACTTGACCTCTCACCTGGCCTCAGGTTCATCCCTCGGCATCCAGATGAACTGGAGCTAGATGTGGATGACCCCGTGTTGGTGGAAGCTGAAGAAGATGACTTTTGGTTTCGTGGGTTCAACATGCGTACCGGCGAGCGTGGCGTGTTCCCTGCCTTCTATGCCCATGCGGTGCCTGGTCCTGCCAAGGACCTGCTGGGTAAGACCTCTATGTACAAGAGGACGCTTGCCACCACAGACTTTCTCCTGTACCACTCCCTGACTTGGGTCCATGTGACATCCCCCCTCTCGTCCCCAGGGAGCAAGCGCAGCCCTTGCTGGGTGGACCGCTTTGATGTGCAGTTCTTAGGCTCTGTGGAAGTACCGTGTCACCAGGGCAATGGCATCCTGTGTGCAGCCATGCAAAAGGTCAGTGTGGAGATGGTGGCAGGCACAGGCTGGAGGCCTGCCTGGGTTGTCACCCCATTCTCACAGGGCAGCACAGCTCCTGTGGCTCCAAGGCCTCCAGCCTGGAAGGGGGGTGTTACAGGGCTGGCTCTCAGTCTTGATTCAGAAGCCTAAGCAGAAAGACCTAGGGCAGAGTGAAGCAGCTGTGCCCCTCACCTCTGGGCCTATTGGTCGTCTCAGTAAAGCTCTCACCTCTTGTCTGGTTCCTCCTCCCTTAAGCCATCAACTTCCTGCCAGGGAATTAAAACCGACTCTCATCTCCTCTTGCCTGAGAGTCCCTTGTTCACTCAGTTATCCACCCAGTGGACAGTTTTCAGTACTTGCTGACCTGCCCACCCACCAACCCCAACCCCTCCCCAGAAAGCTGAGGCTGGTAGGCCCTGAGGAGCTGAACAGATCAACTCTATATCAAAGAGCTCCTGCCGGGTTATGAAGATCAGGCAGTAAGCTGGATGAAGTGTGAGCAGAACAAGTTCTTGGCACCTGAACCAAGAGAAGCATTCTGGTTGTAACAGAAGAGAGGCAAGCTAGGTGTAGGATGGTGACTGGCTTGTTCTGAGAGCAAAGACGGCCAAGGTCATTCTTTTGTCTTCCAGAATTGTCTCTGGGGCCCTGAGGTGCCAAGAGTATTCAGATAATCTAAAATGAACAGAGGCATGAAGAGAGAGAGAGAGAGAGAGAGAGAGAGAGAGAGAGAGAGAGAGCTCATGATGGGTTCCTCAAGACCCCCCTTCTCCTCTAACTTCTCCCTCAGATTGCCACAGCCAGGAAGCTAACAGTTCACCTGCGCCCTCCTGCATCTTGTGACCTTGAGATCTCTCTGCGGGGGGTCAAGCTGAGTCTGAGTGGAGGAGGACCTGAGGTGGGAGTGTGATAGGCCGGGGACCAGAGGGAGGCTTGGAGGTGGCTGGCGGTGGGGCTGTCAAGCCCAGAAAACTGGGGGCAGGGATGTCCATCAAAGAGGTATATAGTGGGCGTGGCCACAGGCTTGCAATAGCCAACGAGGAATGACCCTGCTCACGTCTGCTCTAGTTCCAGCGTTGCAGTCACTTCTTCCAGATGAAGAACATCTCATTCTGCGGCTGTCACCCCAGAAACAGCTGGTAAGGACTTACCTGTTCCTCCTATATTCCTTCAAAAGCTCGGGGTCACTTGTTCTCCAAGCCCCACCCACCCTCAGGACTCCACTCCTCTACTGATATGGTTGCCCAATCCATGCCAGTCAGCGTAGACACTGGTCCAGCTGCAATTCTGTAAGGAAAACTGTGATGGGTGGATGGTTAATCTGCATAACTCTGAATGGGTGGTGGCTGGGGAGTAAGGTTCTGGGTGTGCCATGTTTGTATAAGGTTAGGGACACATGCTGTTAGGTATTAAGATCACAGACTGCCTCTCTTCCCTCAGTGCTGCCACAGACTGACTAGGTGTCCTTTGTCAAGATACTAATGCTCTCTCTCTATGCTTAGTCTATACTGGTACACCTACCTCACAGAGCTGTTATGAAACATGTGTGAATTAATATTAATACTTAAGTTATGCCTGTTAGATATGGGGCAATGGATCTGACTGGCCACGGTTCAGAGGGTGGGGTCGGATCTGGAGTCTCAAGAAGTTCATCTGGATAGCAGTTGCTGTTTAGTACTAATGGGGTGCCTGGGGCTAGGTCAGTGCTCTGACACCCCCTTTGTCAATGTCTCCCCAGCTATTTTGGCTTCATCACCAAACACCCGCTGCTAAGCCGCTTTGCCTGCCACGTCTTTGTGTCCCAGGAGTCTATGAGACCAGTGGCACAGAGCGTAGGGTGAGTGGGAAGATGGAGCAGGAGCCCAGGGAGGATATGGGGCATGGAAAGGCTCAGGTGCATGGGCGGGGCACGCCTGCAGGTTGCTAGAAAAGGGTGCCATGGGGGTATGGTTGCTAGTCAAGACGTTAGTGCATGGCTGGGGAAGAAATAGGAGGAGGACTGGGCTGAGCACCGTTCTCTCTCCCTCACTGCAGCCGGGCCTTCCTGGAATACTACCAGGAGCACCTGGCATTTGCTTGCCCCACAGAGGATATCTACCTGGAGTAGCACCCACCTCCCTCAGCTCCTGTCTACACAGCTCTGGGTATCTTAAGGCCACCATGGCTTGAGCAAGGACTGGATTGGGGACATTTGGAACCTTACCTTGTGGGAGTTTCTGGGCTGGGAGCTCTTGTCCTTTGGCCCTAGGTCATAGCTTTTGGGAGCTGTTGGGGAGAGGAGCCTCAGCAGCCATACTTTTCTCCCAATGCATCTTTTCTCTCCTGTCCTTCTCTGTCCTGTTCCTCCCTTTCCTCTGTCTCCCACCTCTTTTTGTGCCTGTAGACCTCGCTCTTTGCTCTCTTTTGGAGGTAGAACTCAAGGGAGGGGAGTAGGCTCAAGGTAACTGATGAAGTCAGGTCCCCCGTGCTTCCCTCCTGCCCCTCTCCTGTGATTTATAAATGAATTTTAATTTTTATAGTGACTCTTAAGAGATCATCCTGTCTTTGATCGCAGGAAGGGACCCTAGCCCCAACCCACAAGGAGCTCAGGGGAAAGAGGGAGGGGTTTACTAAGAGAACCTTCGGGCAACTAGGTGGTTGTTGATGCTCACCCAAAGCCCCCAATGCTGCTAGGAGGAGGGCACCCTAAAGGGTGCTCCCAACAGGTCATCTGCTTTGCCGCTAACACCCCTGCAGTCCAGCGAGTGAGTATCTGTTCTGCATACGACACCTGCTGTGTACATGGGCCCCACCCATGGCCTCAATAAACTCTGCTTGGTGTGACCCTGGCTGTTTTTAAGGTGGTGCCCAGATGGGGGTCCAAGCCTCAGGTCCTGCCTGTGGCACTGGAAATGGAGGACCCAGGCTGGGGGTGGGGTGGGTTATGGGAATTGGGAGACATCTTCAGTACTTCCTGCAGCCCTGCTGAGGGTGGGTCACTGCAAGTTGTGCTGGAGCATTGCTGGAGGAGGCCCTTAGAGATGTTTCCTCCAAACACACTTGATTTCCTGCAGAGATAGCCAAGGCCTGAAAGAAGGCACTGGCTACAGACCCTGTGGGGTACAGGGAGAGACATGGTCCAGTTTTTTTTTTTTTTTTTTTTTTTTTTGTGTGTGTGTGTGTGTGTGTGTGTGTTTGTGGTGAACAACTTGAGAAACAATGCCTGTGGATCTTAAAAATTGGTATTCTTTTAAGTCTTACTCAGAATACCAGAAGAAAATGGTGACTTTAAAAAAAAAAAAAAAAAAAAACAAAAACCTTGGCTATAGCCTGTAGGTGGTTATAGATCCTCACCAAGATTTTCTCCTGAGACCCCTAAGTGACTCCAACCTCAGAGGAGTATCAGTAAGTGGCCCCTGAGTGTAGGTCTGTGCCCTCTGACCTTAAGCAGCACTATAGCAAGACCACTGGTGAAGGTTGTGAACAGAAGAGTGAACAAAGGGAAGTCTTGACAGTTTGCCACATAAAAGTAAACCAAACCAAAACAAAAAACCCTCTTAGCTGGGCATGGTAGCACACACATACTTACAATCCCAGGACACTGGAGGCTGGGGCAGGATGAATGTCCATTAAGGCCAACCTAGGCTACATGATGTGATCCTATCTCAAAAATAGAGTAGCAACCATAAAAATCATGTCAGTGTGTCGACAAACAAAAAATAGTCACAATATATGTGAATGAAGATCAGGGATAAAGACCAATTGCTGTAGAATTGTCACCTTTTAGCTAGTATGTTGGGACATCCAAGAAGATTTGTAGATACCTTTCTGTCACTTAGCACAGCTATAAAGAGGCAGACAGTCGCTTGGGGGATGGTATAAAACCTGGTCTCCTGTGCTGAGTGATGGAGGCAAGCCCTCCAGACTCACAGAGCTTTGTAGCAGAGACTATTTCACTCCTGGCTCTGTGCCCTTGGTGCCCTGTATTCCCCCCCTCAGGGTCCAGCCTCCTCCCCCTGACCCTCCAACATGTCTCTATGGTTCTTCATATGGTTAACATTTTTCCTTTTTCCCTGCCAGTTAGGACAGCTGTGGGACATGCTTGGTGGCCTTTCCTTGCTGCTTTCCTCCTACCTCTCTAGCTGCCCCATAAGCCCAGCCCTGTTCTGGGTTCTTCCTTGCTGGCTTTAAGGCAAGCAAGCATAGGGAATAGCTTAGCTACCTGAGACTCTACTTGGTTTGGGTCACATCCCTCTTCTAATAATGCCCTTGGTAGCCTGAAATCCTTACCTGCATGCACTATGCACATACATCCTTCTTCAAACAATGTATCTGGCAACTTGTTAGCAACCTAGGACCCCCCACCTGCATTGAAATGCACATAGATACCACTCTGACTACTAAACTATATCTTATTCAGTCAAAATCCACCATTGTCCAATATGAGACCAAGACCAGGGAGGCTGATTAGGTGTTAACTGGTTTGGGGTGCATGCACATTAAGGTTAACTGTTCTGTAGGTGAACTTTTAGGGAGAATGCCATATTTACCATTTTGTACCTATGCATAGTTGGGCATGTGTATGATTAAAACCAGATACATTATAGGAAGAGACATGTGCACTGGACACAGGGTTTATGTATGATCCAAGCCTGCCCTTCAAAATAGAGAACCACCCAAACTATGCCAATAGTGTCTCCTTCCTTTAATCTCCGTAAAAGAAGCCTGTAGGCAACAACCTACACATATGGCCCACAGTCACACTTGGCAGAACATCTGACTTGTACTATTGCTTTGCTTTAAATAAAATACCTGGCTTATAAGGTGTATATTTATTTCAGTTTCTCTTAAATACGATGCCAAGAGCCTGAATATACGCGTGCCAGACCTAGGCGACTGGTAATAGCTTTGTATCACCTATGGAACTGACCACAGGTGTTCATCCATGCACTGTGCTGTGTTGTGCATGAACTCACAGCTCCAGCTGACCTCAAGATCACTCCCATAGAGTCACTCCGATAGTTGGTCACTGGGCCAGTGTTGAGAAGGGGTTACTTGTAAAGGACCCCATATGGTGTCAGGGGACACCATAGACACTTTGAACTAAAGTTTGAGTTTACAAGAGACTTTCCCCCACTTGTGTTCTGTGTTTTATATCTTTTTTTCTCAAGTCACCTAAACCTCTGGGCTGAGGATAAATCAGATTCCTCTCATCACTGTCACCTGCATCTTGCCACCCTTCAGTCTGTCTATTGCCCCCACCTTCTGGACTTGGGTCAAACTGCCTTGAATTTCCTCCTGGACCTCTGTACAAAAAAACAGCTTCCACCAGGCAGTGGTGGGTGGCTCATGTCTTTGATCCCAGCACTCTGGAGGCAGAGGCAGGTGGATCTCTATGAATTCAATGCCAGCTTGATCTACAGAGTGAGTGAGTTCCAGGATGGCTGGGGCTATATAGAGAAACTCTGTCTCAAAAAACAAAAAACCCCAAAACTCTGTTGCCCTGGCACCTGCAGCCACCTGGGCAGATCACTGTCCTTAAATGCTACAGCAATTCCTTTTAGATCTCAGTCTGACCGCCTCATATCCTTCTTCAGCTCCCTTCCACCTCCCCTGCTTCTATTAGTGTTCTATTAGTGCTGCCTTTCCCTGTTGCCCAGTAACCACCCACCTGAGCATTAGGAGCCCTGTGCCTTGGTCACCTACTTTTTTCCTTATTGCTGCAATACCCTAGGTCCTCAGACAGTGCAGTGCCTAGTTTGATGCAGAAACTTCAGAGCTGTGCAGAGTATGTCTAACTCTGGCACTCTAACTGGTGGAAACCTAGGTCAAGGGAAGGACCCTAAATACAAAGTTCTCTACAGAGCACAAGATATATCAACTTACATTCTCATTTAAGTTGCTGAAAGTAGGCTAGCGGGGCTCACTGGTGGGGTGTGTGCCTTTCTGAGTGAAGCTCTGGATTCACTTCCTAGAAACATACAAATGGAAACAGCAACAACAAACAAACCAAGGGGCTGCAGAGATTGTTCAGCAGTTAAGAGCACTGCTGCTTTTCCAGAGGACCCAGGTTTAATTCCCAGCACCCACATGGCAGCTCACAACTGTCTGAACTCCTGTTCCAGTGGATCGGACTCCCTCACACAGACATGCAGGTCAAATACAAATGCATATAAAACAAGACAAAAAAGCACACTAATAATCTAACTACCAAGCAACAGAATTCACTAAATCGAGGTATAGTCACATATTGGAATACTAAGAAGATGTGAACAAATACACTTGTATTTTTATAATAAAAACACATGTTATACTATTAAGACATTGGATGAACACACATAGCATGTTAGAGACTACAAGTTGAAAACTGCTGAGAGGAAACTTTAAAAGTACAAGTTGAAGCCAAGTGAAAGGCTGAACGAAAAATGTATTGATTTCACTTAGCAAAAATTTTAGAGGTTGCTCAGCTGAGCATTATGTTCCTACATATTTTGTAATGGTCTCTTGAGTTGTCTTTTTAGGAACTAAAAATAGCTCAAACACATTGAAAACATTGTCCCTCCACTTAGGCTATGCAGTCATCCCATGGGTGGTCTTCTGACATCAGAGGGCCCAAAAAACAAAACAACAACAACAACAAAAAAAAAACCTCACTCATCAAGGCTACATTTACAAACAATGTTCCTATGGAATGCTCTGAAGTATAGATACAAATGAACAGACTGCCAACACTTCACTGCTTTTATCCACCAGGTCTCACACCACCCTGTTTATCCCATAAGTAGCACTAGATCTAACCCTCTGGGGGCTTACTTGAGATATGGGGTTCCATTCTTCTCACATTTGTACTGTCTTGTGTCTTAGTTAGGGTTACTATTACTTTGGTAAAATACTGTGACCAAAAACACTTCCATATCACAGTCCATCATGAAAGAAACTCAGGGTAAATGCCAGGCGGTGGTGGCATATGCCTTTAATCCCAGCACTTGGGAGGCAGAGACAGGTGGATCTCCGTGAGTGTGAGGTCAGCCTGGTTCCAAGACAGCCTCCAAAAGCTACAGAGAAACCCTGTCTTGACAAACAAACAAACAAACAACAACAAAAACAAACTTAGGGCAAGAACTGAAGCAGAACCATAGAAGAATGCTATTTAACTGGCTTTTCCCACATGGCTTGTTCAGCTGCTTTCTTATACAACCCAGGGCCATCTACCCAGGGGTGGCACTGCACACCCTTTGTGGGCCAGGCACACCCACATCAATCATTAACCAAGAAAATGCACACAGACTTGCCTACAGGCCAATCTGGCAGAAGCAATTTCAATTAAGATCCCCTCCTCCCAAATGACTCCAGCTGATGTCGAGCTGATCAAAAAACTTACCAGGATGCCATGTAAATAAACAATAGTGACCCTCCTCTTCCACAGTGGAATATTAGAAGGACCTATTCATGACAGTCTCATCCCATGCAGGTAATTGTAACTGCTCTGATTTTGAGAGGGGAATGGCCATGTCTTGACTGGAAGCCAGCCTTACCCCAGCTCACACTGAGATGGTCTCAGTTAAAAGCCTTCTTCAATTAGGGGTAGTTCAAAAGGAGGTCATACTGTCCAGACATGGATCACTCCTCAGAAAGGCCCCTCTTCTAAGATAATGTAGTGGAGTAGGCACAGGTTGGTCCCCAAGGCCTCTGATCCTCTACCTTGAACATGGCACTTTACTCCAAACCCTGTGTCACTATTGTACCTTTACACTTGGCTCCTCCTGCATCTTTTACCCATCACACATTTACTGGGATTAGGAGGCCAGGGTGTGAGTATTTCATTTCCTTCTGTGCCAATTACTATTCTGTGACCACAACAAACCAGTAGGAATTTCTAAAAAGGAATTTATTTTTTATTGGGCAGATACCAAGGTCAAAAGAAGGAAGAGCAAAGGGCACTAGCAAAGGGTTTGACATAAATACACGTTTTCTTCCTTCACTGCTGATAGAGCTTATTGGCTCCTAAAGGGAGTGTGTTCGTGGAGAAACAAGGGTAAGGTTAGGTCTGAAACCTCTAGGTTAAGTGTGTGTGTGTGTGTGTGTTGTGTTTTCGAGACAGGGATTCTCTGTGTAACAGTTTTGGCTGTCCAGGAACTCACAGAGAACCACCCGCCTCTGTTTCCCAAGAGCTGGGATTAAAGGCATGCACCACTGCCTGGTTTAGGTTAAATATTTTAACTTGGCAGAGAACGATGTTTAAGGATGGCAGTACTGCCTTCCCTGGGTAAGGTTACTGAGTGTGTCTGGTTTGCTCTGATAATGATACATTGTTACTGGCAAAAGTATCTAATTCTAGAAGTACCAACTGACTAGACCACATCATATCCCAAAACACCAATAAAAAAAGGTAACTAGTGAGTTGGGCAGAGAAAGATTTAATCATGGTGGCCATGATATGAAGAGCAAAGAGGTTCTATAACCTTGATCCTGGCCAACAGGAACTTGAGATTTTATGGAAAAGGGCAATAAGTGAGGGGGGGTGTGTGAGAGTTTGCATAACTGAGAGCATCTACATGATCTTCGTGGTCAGGTTATGATTTTAACTTTTGTTCTGCAAGTGATTCTGGGGAGGTTACCACTGTCATTACTTGAGAGCAATCTGATTTCCAAAAGAAATCATTCTCCAGGGTGCAACCTTGCCGTCCTAGGTAGTTGCCCTCACTTGACGGTGACCTGTCTTGCAAAGCATGAAGACATTTATCAAAGGGCTGGAGAAATGGCTTAGCGGTTAAGAGCACTGGCTTCTCTTCCAGTTCAATTCCCAGCAACCACAGGTGGCTCACAACCATCTATAATAGGATCGGGTGCCCTTTTCAGGTGTGCATAGAGTCAGGCCACTCACATAAATTGAAAAAAAAAAAAGTTTATCAAGCAATTCTAAGCAGTACTGTTTTCCCCAGTACGAAACAGGAGACATTGACTTAGGAGGGAAGAAAGCAAAAGAGGTAAAAATAGAGCCAGAGAAAGACAAAATGGAATCAGCCCAGTGACTTGTGCCCTCCTTGAAAACTATGTTTGTAGTTAAGAACATTGAGAAAAGAGGTGAATTGAATGAAACATTATTCCATGAAACAGTCCCTTTTACTCCCCCTTCTGGTCACTTAGGAAAATGCATGGGAAAGGATGGCTAGGTCAGGGAAAAATACTTAGGCTCCTGGGGAAAGGTGCTGGCTTTTCTTTCTTTTTTTTTTTTTATATCAACAGCATAGAAATGAGAAAGTGTCAGATGTCCTTTGAGGCTGCCTTGCTCCAGCACTGCACAGAAAACATGAAATCTGAATCGTATGGACAGCATCTGGTGGGGGCGCATAATAACTGTTTATGAGCACATGTGTGAATGTATGTATATATTCAAGTGCATGTGTATATCATCCATATGTGAATGTACCTGTTACTGTATGAACATATCTGCACAAATACCCATGCTATGTCAGCGTGAATGTATGTAATGCATGCATGTACCTAAGCACATGTGTATATGTATTGGTGTGCCTGCATGTTTGTATGGGCACATTTAAATACACACAAATATGCCCCTGTTGAGAATATGTTGCATTAGGCTAAAAATGATGAAAAACAAGCATTTATGCATGCATACAAATCATAGCAAAGACATGATTATACTCTCATATGACCAGTATTATTGCTTTGGAAGACTGCTACAGATTTTACTGAAGTAAACTACAGAATGATATAAGAAAATATGAAAGTCCTGAGTGTGTGGCCATTGATTGCTTTATTGACATACCTGTCTCATGTCACCTCCTGTTTAGACTGTAGAATGCCTGTAGGTTTCCTGTTGTCTGTCTAGGCAGTGCCCACACACTGCACTCTGCAAGATTCAATGATTTCTACGGCACTGCAATCTCACAAGTACCAGATGCTCCTGTGTTAAGATCATCTTTATATTTGAGGACACCTTGCTCTCAGTGTAGTAAATGTGGTGGAATCAGCATTAAAACACACCCCATGCTAATGAAATAACAAAGCAGAAGCTCTTGCCAAAGGTTGTGCTCAGGTGCTGGTGGGGGACTGGCTGAAGATTTGTGTGTCATTGTTTTTAATGTGATATACAGATGATCCATGTTTCAGTTCTTCTGTCTTCACCTTGAGCTGCTGTTTCAGTCATCTGGGGCCAGCCCTCCACTTAGATTAAGTGATGCAGGAGCTCTTTAAGCCAGGATCAGTTCCTGCTGGATAGCTCCAAAGAAATCTCTACCTTGTGTGCACAACAAACCTTGGAATGTGATCCATGTAGCTTCTTAACCAGGTAAGAGGTTATGTAAGAATTATATGGAAAATGGAGTTGTAGAGGACCCCAGGTAAACATCTTGTATCATGAGGTGTCCCCTCCTCTACCCCAAACAGGATCCATACACTCCATTCAGGCCTCATTCCTACTAGGCCACAACAGCTGCAAGTGACAAATATTTCACCAGCAGAAGTACCAACAGGCAAGGTTTACTTTGTACATTTGATGGTCTCCAGGCAGGCAGCTGGAGATACTGGTTTAATAATTGCCTGGTTCCATGCAGGGCCATCAACATTGCTGGTTAGGTTCTCATCCAGATCACCCCAACCTTTTACTACCAAGACTCCTAGTCACATGCCACTCCTGGACCAATCCCTGGAATATAACCAGCTCAGATTGGTCACCACCTTGAAGGAAAAAAGGCTGTAAGCTTGACACCTGGAAGTCTGTCCCCATTGAAGAGAGGCAACAATAGTTTGCTAGAGATACTGGCACACCCTGAGGGTACCGTTATAATGCGACCAGTACTGAGAACACCTTATGGTACATTATACCATGCAAACACAGGTAGGCAGTCCAAAGGTCTTTCTACAAAGGCTAACATAGGAGGCAGAATATTACCAGTGAAAAGAACAGCCAGGCCAGCATGCAGCAGGCCTGAGGGAATGGTGGGTCACTGAAGGAGTTTGGAATTTGAACATGGTGGACTCCAACCCAATGGTTTTATTTTATTTTTTTACATTTATTATTATCATTGCTCATGTGAGTGTGATGTATGTTAAGTCCAGACATGTGTGGGCCACACAGCATGTGCAAAGGTCAGGGCACAACCTTGGGGATCTGGTTTTCTTCCTATTTTGCTGAGGCAGATCTCTCTTGTTTCTACAATGCTGCATATTCTAGGCTAGCTTGCATACAAGATTCTGGGCAATTCTCCTTTCTTCTTATCGTTCTTAAGAATGCTGGGATTACAGCTATGGGGCCACATTTATCTGGCTTTTCCATGTGAGTTTCTGGGGATTGAGCTCAGGTTGTCAGGCTTGCATAGCAAGCATTTTTACCCATCGAGTCATCTCATAGGCCCCTGATAGATGATTTTTAAAAGTTACTTTGTAGAAAATTACTCAGGACAAAGAGACTTGAAATATACACAACAGAGAAATGCAGAGCTGGGAAGCTGGGCAAGCCCCATGGGACTGTCTCAGGAGCTGTTCATGTTTCTTCTTGGGATCTAGCAGGGCCCCCAATTCCTTAACTCTATCTGGAATGAACAGTTTATCACTTAATTCCAGATGATAGATTTCTTGCTCCAGGGCCTATAAGAATGCTTGTTGAGGAAAACCTATGTTCCAGAGGCTTTGCACCTTTAGGGTTTCCTGAATACCATGCCCTCACCATCCCTCCCTCACAGTTCCTGGCACCTGAATGCACCACCAACTTCTGTGAACAGACATGTTCATGCTTCAGCGATGTTTCCATGGACACATGCAGATCACCAGGGCAGGGCAAATTTCAGACCCTGGATACCTGTGTCCATTCAAATCCTAGCTCAAGCTCTTTCTGGTAAGGTGACATTGGACTTGAAGAGGTCCCTGAGATTTCCCCATGCCTCAGTTTCCTCATTTGTAGCACAGGAGAATAGCACTGAGCTCAGAGTTACAACAAGGACTAGATGAATTAGCACACCTGCAAGTCTCAGCTGATGTTATTACATTACCAGATACAAACTACACACTTGCCCCTGCCCTTCTGGTGAGCCATCACACACTCAGGATAGAGTTAGGGGTCCTGGGCTACCCTTGTGGGGGGGACCCCTGTGATTTCTCCAGGACCCTCAGGACTGGGAATCTGGGCAGCGGCAGCAGACTGGGTGGGGAGTGCAGCTCGGCTGACAGCAGATCTGCAAGGCAGGGTCCTCACCCTTGGCTATCTGGCTGGGGCTGAAGGTCACAGTTGCATCATACTGGGCCTTGAGTAGCTCAAGTTGCTTCAGAGCTTGTAGAGCTTCTGAGGAGACCTCGTCCCCACTTTCCAAAAGATTGTAGTTCTCACCAGGGTCCTCAGACAAGTCATAAAGTAATGGGGGCTCATGAGCGGTAAGAGGGTTGGTAGCATGACAGGCAGGATCTGAAGTGGTGTCACTGTGGGCAGAGCCTGGGGAAAGGGGTCAACTTTTTGTACAGGAAGGGACAGAGGATAGAGCAGTCGGGGATCAGCAGGGTTGGGAAAGGAAGCCAGGGAGAGAGAGAGAGAGTTACCCTGGGTGAAGAAATGAGCCTTGTATTTCCCATTCCGCACAGCAAAGACCCCATGGATCTCGTCTGGGTATGGTGGGTAGAAGAAGACAGATGTCCGTGGGCTCTGAGAACAAAATCACAGGGTCACAGGGCAGGAGAAATCTCTAAGAGTTCTTGTGTTGTCCCTGGTTGTGGACCCTCTTTTGGCCCACCCAGGAACTTAAGGGGTGGCACTCAGAAGTCACTCATCAAAGGAGACATGAGGCATGAACTGTCAGCCACTACTCACAGTCATACCTGAAGGACAGAAGGACCAGCAGGGGGCAGTGGAGTTAGGGGTCAAGGGATTACTGGCCCTACCTTGCCTGTGCCTAGCAGCAAGGGGCTGAGGTCAACACCATCCAAGGTGATATTGGGCAATGGAGCCCCAGTCAGGGCTGCCAGGGTGGGCAGGAAGTCCAGAGAGCTGGCCAGCTCGTGGGTTACACCTGTGGACAGACGGTCACTCAGTTCATCACCAAGGCTGGGGAGATGGGGCCAAGGGTCTACAAAAAGAGGGCCAGAGGACTGACCAGGAGTAATGTGGCCTGGCCAGAAGACCAAGGCAGGTTCTCGGACACCACCTTCAAAAGTTGTTCCTTTTCCACATTTCAAGAGGCCAGAACAGCCACCACTGGACATACGCATCAACTCAGGACTAGGACACACAAGGAAGTCATCAGTAATGAGGGGCCAAGGGCCCTGACCCACCACTGGTGACCACCAGCCCCATATTTTAAAGTTATAAATCTTGCCAAGAAAACTGCTATATGCCTGTTTCTTCCCTTGCCTACTGAGACCAGCAACTCTGTATACTGTGGTCCCCAGTCTATGACCCCATGGATTACTATAACAAGGCTAGCATCTCTCTTAGGAGCCCTTTATATCACAGTCTTCCAACAAATAGCTAGGGTGGATGGACCCTAGAGCCCTTGCCTATTATCAAGCAACGAGTATCCTCTGTTCTGGCTCATACCCATTATCTGCAGTGAAGATGACCAGTGTCTCTCCGAGCAGACCTAGGTCCCCCACAGCTGTCATCAAGGCCCCTACAGCTGCATCCAGCTCCATCAAGGAGTCCCCAAATGGCCCACGATCTGATCGACCTGTGAAGCTTTGTCCACTGAACTGAGGGTAGTGGGTGTGCTGGGGGCAGAGAGTGGAGTCAGCATTGGGCACAGGACTTGGGCAGCCAGGAGGGTGGGGCCACGGTCACTCACGTGGGAAGCGTAGTACAGGAAGAATGGTCGGCCCTGGCGCTGGGCATCAGCCATGAGGTCTCGGGAGAAAGACACATAACGAGCCTCTAGTCCAGGTAGCCAAGGGGGCTGGGCCTCCACAGACAGGTTGGCCAGCAATGGGATGGGAACCAGGCCTTGGTCACAGCCACCAATGCAGGGGATGTCTGGTGGAAAGCAGGTTAGATTCTGACAGGGACCCTGGGGAGACAGTTCCAGTGAGAGAGGTCTGGCTGTGCATTAGGGGACATTAATAAGAAGGCTTGGGTGGGTGGTCAGTGGAGGGTCCAGGTGGTTTGTACCTGGTCATGGGAATATGGGATGCCTAGGAATCGATGGAAGCCCTGATGCGGTGGCAGGAAGGCCCCCTCTGGTCCCACTCCAAGATGCCACTTGCCAGCCATCCCTGTAAGATAACCTCGAGCAGCCAGGACCTCAGCCAGAGTCACCTCCTCCAGGGGCAGGCCCCCTTGGGAACTGGGCCCCAGAACTCCAGGGTACATGCCTGATCGAACTGGGAGCCGGCCAGTCAAGAGGGCAGCCCTGTAGTACAAGCCACATAATCCATAATCTGTGAGTCCCACAGAGATGAACACAGGGAGGAACACAGAGAGAGGGCAGGGAGAATTGTGGCCTTACCCACAGAGAGACAGAAACAGGATGGGCAGGGGTAGGGGAGGGGGAAAAGACCCTCACTCACCGAGATGGTGTGCACAGAGATACAGGCACATAGAAATCTGTGAACCGCAGTCCCCCTTCAGCCAACTGATCCAGGTTGGGGGTGGTGGAACTGGGGTGCCCATAGGAGCCTAGGTCTCCATAGCCCAGGTCATCAGCAAAGATCAGCAGGATGTTAGGTGGACTGGCAGTGCTCAGGCCTGCAGCCAATGCCAAAAAGAGGGCCTCCAAGGCTCCCATGGCAGAGATACAGATGGGTCTATGTCTTCAGACCCTTGGTAGGGAAGGCAGAGCGATTCCAGCAGGCTCGTTTCTCAAGTTCCCAGGCCAGACTCCTGCCTGAGGCCCCAGGCCCAGCCCTCCTCCCCTGAGCCCTCAGACCCAAACACTCCTTCTACCAGAAGGCCCACTTTCTGAAGCTCCCGCGAATCTGTCGGAACTCGGGAGGTGGTGACCTGCGGTGTAACTCCACAGAGCCCCCCCCAAAGGACCAGGGCTTCTTTATATTCACGCGCGAGGATCTGACCCTGTACACCCAGAGGTCCCAGCACAGGCTTGGGATCAGGAGCAGACGTCACTTAACATTGACCCGGGAGAGCTCCGACGCCATGGGACGAGAGCGGTTCAGAACTGAGGAGGAACTGGTCATAGACAGCGTCGCTCTCAGGCCGTCTGGGATACGCCCATGGTCACGAGACACTTCGCTGCTCGAGAAGGGCGGGCGCTGGGACCGGGCGGTACGGAGTCGGGGCGGGGTAGAGCTGCGACGGGGCGGGGCGAGGCGGAGCTAGGCAATTGAGCGAGAAGGGTTTGTGTGCCGATGGGCCCTTCCGGGGTGGGGCTTGTGCGGACCTGGGACCGGGGAGGGAAGGGGTGAGGGTGGGGATTGCTCGCGCGCTCCGGACCTTTCTCTGCGCCGGTTGGCGTGTCCCGTGCTAGGCTTGGTAACCTTGCGCTCTTTGATCCTGCGCGGTGGGCTCAGCTGTGGGACTGCCTGGCGGTGCACTACATCAATTATCTGGTTCTCCTGCTATCTAGCGTTTAGCGCGTTTGGAGTTCCTATGGCGCAGGGTGGTTTGTTTGTTCCATTTCCCCTGATGAGACATTTGAAGGACCCTTGTTGAAAAGACCTCAGCATCCCCTTCTGAATGAGCAAAGCGAATTGAAACGAATCAGGAAGACAAATTGGATAGGCTGCTGGCTTTAGCTCACAATCACACAAACACAGCTGTCAAATTCTTTAATAATCTTTTTTCTTCTACATGTGTACCTGGTGTTTAAGGTTGAGGGTGTGTGTATGTGTACCTGTGGTGTTAGAGGTACGGTGTGTATCTGTGGGGTTTGAGTTAGCATTGTGTGTTCATGGTGTTTGAGTGTGTGTGTGTGTGTGTGTGTGTGTGTGTGTGTGTTTGTTTCTGTCTGGTGTTTTGAGTGGAAGGGTCTATGTGTGGTATGATTGAGGGTCCATTAGTATTGAGGAATTCATGTGTAGACAAGATGACTTGTTTCCAACTCTTTGTTTATGCAGTCTTAACCATTTTTGGTCACCAGTTCTAACTGTAAAGGAAGAATAATAGATATGCCCCTCAAAGAGTGGAAGGGTGGGTCCTTTACTTACAGTACCTTAACATCTAAAGGTCCCTGTGGTAACTGGACTTCCCAGATCACCCCACCCCCAAAAGTCCCTGACCTGAGTCACTTTTCCAGGACAAATTTCTTTCAGAGTATTTCCCCACAGGCGGCTGTTCCTAGGGCAGTAATGTCCAGATTCTTAGCCTAACCCCACTACAGTAGGGATCAGAACTCAGATTCACGTGGGGAGATATGACCCTGTGCACCCAGAGGTTCAACACTGACTTGGGGTTGGGTCAGGAGCAGATATCACTTGATACTGGGTTGAGGGAGCCCTCTGGCAGGCAGAAGGAGAGTGATTCAGGACTGAAGAGTAGACTGGTCACAGACTCCCACTGAAGCCTGGATGCCTGGGCATCTGGAATTTTCCTGATGAAATCTGCTAGATGACAGGCACCATAGGAGCAAAGTTTGAATGGCTGAGACCCCAGAGATGGCACAGAAAAGGAATCTGGCCTAAGGCTACTGTAAACCTCATGTGAAGTGGGGGTGGGGGGCAATTTCAGTTAGCAGTTTTCTCAGTGTCAATTCCAGCACAGTTTCTGGGCCTGTGCTGGTCCTTCTATTTAGAGTCAGGACAGAAAGCTCTTCTGTGGCCCAGAAATCTTAGAAACTGTAAATTGGAGCTCTCACAGCTGGTGGGCACTGTGAATTGTAAGTTGAAAGGAATCAACCCAAAGCACTTTCTTCTCTTTCAGTTGCTAGCTGTGAACTACCCCAGGACTTATTCATTATTTTCTGGAGAGCCTGTATGGGGTTATGTTATGCAGATTGTGGTACTTTTTCCCAGGGTTCTTTAGGACCCTCAGGTGTGTATACACGGGAAGGCTGCTTGGGTTCAGCTCTGACCTGAAGCCTTGGGAAACTTGGAAAGAGGTATAGGTGTGCTGCCAGCTCTGTCAGCTCTGTTCAAAGCCAAGCTCTGAAGGCCAACCTGACTTTAGAGATGTGAATTTTTTTTTTTTTTCAACAACAGAGCCCCAATTGGAAGTAGCCTGCTAGGGTTCAGGAAGTGGCTTCAGATGATGCCTGGGGCACAGCTAATTTTGGACAAACACCCACAGTTGAGAAAGGAGCCTCGCAATGAGTGGCAGGTCACTCAGTTCTGTACCTTGCAAAGGGATGGGAGAAGCTTCTGCAATGGGGCTAAGATGGGGTAGCTGAGTCGCAGCACTGGCCTGAGGAGAGTTCTGTAGTTATTCTTACACCAGCTGATGTGGGCACCAAGGACACATCAGGGCGACACCTTTCCTCCTCCATTGCTGCTCCATAATGTCATCGTTATAATGTGGGTGTTGGAATGCATGATGCTGAGCAGGACCAGAAAGGGTAGTTCTCCCAGAATACCTGAGACCTAATGGAGATGGCTAAAGGCGAGTTTTCATTTGAATTACGATCAGGGGCTACGTTTTGTTATAAACACAAATGTGAGGAGAAACCCTGAGAGACCCCCCCCTTCAAATATACTGAGGGGAGGAACAAGAATTGCTGTCAGGTGACACAAATGACTTCTGGTAACCTATGGTTCACGTGACCTGTGAACAATAGCCTGCTGGGCAAGTAACTAGTTTCCCAAAACAAATCTTGGGGGCTGGAGAGATGGCTCAGCACTTCAGAGTATGCTCTTCCAGAGGACTGGGGGTTCAATTCCCAACACCCACATGGCAGCTCACAACTGTCTGTAACTCCAATTCTAGCAGGTAAAGCACCAATGCACATGAAATAAAATAAACAAATTATTTTAAAAAATCATTTAAAAAGTCCTACAGTCATTGTGGTTTATATTATAGAAAAATGAAAACAAAAAGTTGTAAGCATTTTATTAGGAATGCTGGCTCTGCCACAGTAAATTTTTTTCCCAGTGCTTTCAAAGAACTAAACAAAGCAGCTCACAAGAAGGATATCCTCAAGCAAAGCTAGGCCCCAGAATGACTGCAGACAATAGACACTAGACCTGGTAGTAACAGCAGCCAAGAGCCTCCATGCAGTCAGTGTAGCTGTGATGAGGGCGAGTTCAGATGCAGCTACCAGTGTATACTATACAAGTCCAAGGGCCTGGGAAATGCAAGGGCTGTGAGATGAAACAGGAGTAGATCAACAACCAGGCTTTTCTGAATAGGGCAGGAGCCATTTAAAGTGAGGATTGGGAAAGAAGAACCAAACACCAAAATAATTGTACCATTTTTACAAATCTTCTTCAACAAGGTCTGGAAGAATGGATATGGGAAGAATTTGGTCCCAAATCAGATGGACCAATTCAGTGATCATAGATTTTGGAACACAAGTGTGGTTGGAATGGCTAGAAGGACTATTTCTCCTTGGGTAATTAAGAGCAGGGCTAAAGAATCCTACGAGAATGATAGTGAAATATTAGAAGCTCCTTGGTTTAGAGGAGAAAAAGACACCACACATCGAAGGAATGTGTGTTGTGAATCTTCAGCTCAGCTGTCGCCTTGGGGTGGGGGGTTGGGGCATTAAGAGGATACTATGGATGTATGTTGAGGGGAAAATAACTCATTGGGAAATGTGCTTGCTGAGCAAGCATGAGGACCTGAGCTCAGGTCCCGAGCACCCACATAAAATCTGGGAGGCCAGCTGCTACAGCCCCAGTGCTAGGGGAGGAATAGGGACAGATGGGTCCTGCAGGCTTTCTGCCAGCCAGTCTAGGTAAAACAGTAAATTTCAGGTTCAGTGAAAGACTCTGTCTCAAAAAATAAGGAGGAAAAGCCAGGCAGTGGTGGCACATGCCTTTAATCCTAGCTCTCAGGAGGCAGAAGCAGGTAGATCCATAAGTTTGAGGCCAATCTGGTCTACAGAGCAAATCCCAGAACAGCCAGGGCTACACAGAGAAACCCCGTCTCAAAAGGAAAAAAAAAAAAAAAAAAAAAAAAAAAAAAAAAGGAAAACAATAGAGGAAGACAACTGGCATTAACCTTTGTCCTCTATGTGTTCATACACACATCACACACACACATATTATACATACACCACACACCGCACACATGCACATGTATGCACAGCAACATCCTTGAAAAGCTCTGATTGTCAGCCTTGAAAAGGCTGATTGTCAGCAAGGAATGAAGTAGAAATGCAGCCAAGAAGCAAGGAGTGGAGAGATACTGGGTGGCCAGGGGCCACATGATTAGCCAGGCTGGTGAGGTCACCTTGATCAGCAAGCAACTCTGTATAGCCCCAGATACCTTTGACTCACTGGCCATAAAGTCACCCTAGTCTAGGACAAACAAGACAGCACGGGAAGGTGGAAAAGATCTGGTTTTAGGTATATGTCCTGGACTTAGTTGTAACACAATGGAGCAATTCCTGGATATGAGTCATTCCTGGATCCGGAGCCCTACATAGAGTGCCAATCCTGATGGAAACGTTCAAGGCCACCCCCCCAAGGGAAGTACAGGCTTTAGGCAGAAAAGGCAAGTCTTAGAGGAAGAGAGTCCATGGACTCAGGCTTTGGCTAGGAGTTTGGTGGCCCTTAACAAACAGTGATGCCCTGAGTTCACTGATCAGATGGAGATTTTGGAGGTCAGGTAATGCATTGTATTTTGTTTCTTGAGATTCTCTTGCTATGTCAATACCTATGGTGGCTTCAGATTCATGGACTCAAGCAACCCTCCCACTTTACTCTCTCTAGTAATACTGATGAGACAATCGGCTTGTGTCACCGCAACAGGATGAGACAGTCCCTTTGGATCACAGTCCATCACCATGGACATGGTGGATATATGAACATCCCGTGTTAAAGTCCTGGTTCTCAGTCTTCTGACTCACACTAAGAGTGTCCAAGCTCTCTTTTTGTGTGTGTTATTTTATAATGCTGGAGAGTGATACTCAGCTTTTACACCAAGTTTTTACACCATTCATAGCCTCTCACATCCCCATAGCTTCTCAATGGCTTTGTCTTACTGGCTATAAAAGTTCTTTGTGTTTTCCTCCTGTATCAAGTGAGCAAACACCGAATTTGACAGACAAAAATTTCCAAACCTCAGTAGCTTATAATCGGTATTTACTTATTGCTCATACTAAGTCTACATCATAATATAGGTAAGGGCTGTACATACTTTTTGTTGAGTTTCAAGCCTGGTTTACAAAAAGACT